CCAAGCGTAATATTTATCAGGTAAGCTCTTACATGAATAAGCAACTGTAGAATGTGAAGCTAAGCAAACGTCTTTGAAAAAGAATTACTTATATTTAGGGGTCTCATTTTCCTCTTGAATTAAAAAAAAATTTAAATCATTGATAATTTAATTTACGCATAAAGTAAAGTGAAAATACACACAAATTGACAATCCTACCTATGATAAAGTTTCCTGCTGAAAATTTGAAAAACCAACCATTTTCCCGATGTTCTTAAAGAAAACTATATTTTTATTGATTGAAATCAATTTTTCAGGTGATTTTAATCAAAAACAATCGATTGATTTTTCGAAACATAGACATACGTTCTATTTCTGTTAGAAAAAACGAGCGCAAAATCAATTTCTTTTTTGATGACACGGATATTAGTTTCAATTACTGCTAATACTAAAAGTAATGTTGATGATTTTAGTCAACTAAAATAAATTTTTTGCGATGCTGATGACATAGATTTCATTTAATACCAGTGTTAAGATTAATTTTGGCGATTTCAATCGTAGAAAATTGACTGAAAACAATTGAAATTACACTAAGACAAGCCAATGAGAATTTATGAACGTTTATTTAGATAAATTTTGACAAAGTTTTAAGTACGAAATCTTGAAAGTATAAGATATTAGCAAGATCGATAGGGACCATTTCGACATTCTTTAACTTCGGGATCTTGAAAACCTATATCCATTTTTGTTTGAAGAACTTTTCCAGATTTTCACACATCATTCGAAACATCAACTGACAACCAGTGAAAGAACGTATAGGCTTTGGGAAATAATATCGCATTATTGAGTATGGATGTTATTTTATCTTTACTTTCACAAGTATATATAAATAAAATCTTTATATTTATTTAAGAATATAAGATAAATAGATTCTTTATTTCGAAGAATAAGCGTAAAATAAAGAATAAACAAAGATATCTTTCTGCAATAGATAAATAGGTAGTTACCTAGTATAACAACCGGATATGCTAAGCAATATTCTTTCTTATCATCAGCATCAATTTGATATGTGATGTTATTAAAAACTTGTCACTGTGACTCGTTTGGAGGCCAACGCGTGGAACTTACAAACTCTGATTGCTATAAATTTATGATATATTGTTGAAGAAATTAAAATAGTTTACTTTCAACAATTGTCAATTGAATGAATAAATCAAAGTTCCAATAATAATTAATTGGTAGCAATCTTTACTTCTACATTTCAAACAGAACTTTTCTTTTTTTTTTTTCGTTTTTATTATTCAAATTTGTGCGGTATTTATTTCATTTTTTTTCTATTGAGTTCTATCTATTAATGGAATGCGGAAATAAGCGTCTTGGATGCATTTGTTATATCTTTACAAGATCTTAACATTCTGTTATGCATCTTAATGGACTTAGTAAGGAGAAAATTGATTATTTCTGAGGGTTAGAAAGCGATTCGGGGTGTAGATGTAGGTCACACCCACATCCAAGAAAAACACCTAATGAAACTCTGGTACCAGCCAGTTGCCCTTGAAGTTATTGTATATATCTGCCCAAGTATGTCTAGTCATAAAATATTTTAGCAACAACTCGAAGTTTATTGAGTCTTCTTTGATGTATTATCTCTCGAAGCATCCAAAATAAAAGTACATTAAGATATTATAAAGGTACAAGAAACTATCAAACCATAGTAAGCAAGTGGAATTAGAAATCAAAATAGTCATTTACTCCACGTATATCTGAAAGACATTGTTAAAACAGAAGACGATACCCAGTAACTACTCTACATACGATTTGTCTCTTATTATCTCAGAATCCATATTTTATTTTGTTGGCACAAATTTCTATGTTTCAGATAACATCCAGCAACATGAACGATGAAACCGACGAGGAATTGAGCGAATATCTGCCTTACAGACGCCAAAGACCTCGAATGCAATCGCTCATTGACCAGTACGGAGTAGTTCGACCGCACAAGTCACCAATAAATCATCTGACAAACTCGGTAAAGAAATATTATCATAGTTTAAGTTTAGTTGGCGTTGCAAACACGTTCCTCGATGCAATACCACTCATTCGATGTCTCAAAGAGTACAAAATAAGAAAATATCTGATAGGAGATATTCTAGCAGGTATAACGGTGGCAATCATGCATATTCCTCAAGGTAAGAAAAAAAAATTTGTTTTACCGGTGCTTTCCTATTTTTCAAAGGTATCATTTTTTTGTAATGGAAACTTATAAGACACCTTACATAAGAAATCTATAATATTTTAAAAGATGGTGACTGATTCTATTGAAAATGTTAGAGTTTCTAGATGCCTTTTTTGTAGATTATTTTGGCATAAAAAGTTTTATTGTTAACAGAATTTGTATGAAATGTGACTCAAAATAACGATAACCAATCATAATTGCCAGAAAAACACATCTCATTTTCATTCTTTCTATATTTTGACTGAACATATTCAGATTAAAAATTCAATCATAGACTCAAATTTATTATGTCAAAAAGTGACTTCGTGATTTATCTTCAAAATGGAACTCTCGAACTGTGAGAAAAGTATTAGTTAAAAGAAAACGGTGTAGGCTATCCATAATTTGATTTACTGTAGACTATAGTTAAATTTTTGCGGGAATTAGATTACAAATTGAGGGTGTAACTGCCGAAAAAAGATAATTTTGACTATGTTTCCTGATGTAAGGAAAAGATAGCATATCGACCTATTCAGCATTTTTCACTAAATACTACACTAACCTGAGTTTAAAAAAGTAGAGTTGAATCTTTTTACTAATAAATTTCAGTCAAATAGATTACTTCTTGGCAACACTTTGTATGATTTTCTTTACTCATTGCTAGAAAGATCTCATTAAGCTGCACAAAATGATTTAAGAATCAGTAGTCTATTGCTTTTCTCTGTTAGATTTTTTCGTATACTCTTTCATCAAAATGCATGGCTGAGTGATAGCTGTTTAAGCCTAATAAGTATATCCCAACATAAAAAATCATTCGTTCATTCTTAAAACTTTACTATCGACACAAGTTTTATTCTCCTTTCTACTGATAACATCAAAATCTCGAAAACATATGCTTGAGAAGTAAATATTTTCGAGAGATATTCTTAAATTCCACATTTGTTTAGCAAACAAAATGCTGTCTACTGTGAAATTTTTATTTGGAAAAGTTGGCTAGTGAGAAAAGGAACGGAAAGAATGCGTGTGATGAAGAAAAAGCCCACACCCACACTCTTCGCTATATTCGACTATAAATTTCATCATTATCTAACAGTAGAGGTATTTCTATTACTAGTTAATAAGACCATGCATATTCGAGTAAAATTAAAGCTTTCACTGGCAAACTAACAAACTTAAAATATAGGTTGCTCTAGATGTACACGGATCGAAATATTTGAATTTTAAGGAAGAATGGATCCAACATGCTGCCTTGTATAAAAATGTTTTTTTTTCTAGATTTGAAACATACTTTTTCCTTGTGCAATTCGATGCGCTCTACCCAATCATCACGAAATAAACAGAAAACAGTTTTGGTGCAGTTTTGATCTGTAAGCACCTTACATATATTATAAATACCTCAAAAAATTCAAATATCTTGGTCCGTGCACACCTACACCAGCCTATATTTTAAATTTATTAATTTCTCGGTGAAAGCTTTAATTTGACCCGAATATATCTAGTCTTATTAACTTATAATGCAAACACCTTTAATTTTCTTCTAATGATTTCTCGTATCATATGGAAAAGTGACTTGTATGTTGAAAAAACTACTCTTATCTCTTTACAAGCACCGAGTTTTTGTATAGTTCCTTTTGTGGAAAAATAATTTCTGAAATTGAATTCTAAGGCATAGTTTTTTCACCAATTCAGTTTATATTTCTGCTTTGAATAATAAATGAAACTAAAATCTTTCACTATAACCAAGTACAAACTGAAGAAACAGTTTTCTGTCCAACATGAGTGTATCATTTTTGAAAACAGCAAAAATTCCATTTGTCTTTTTGTTTTTTTAAATAAATTTGATACTAAAGTGTATCAGAGTGAAAACGCTTACATATAGAGAAAATACTATAGTCTATGTGATCATGAAAACTATGAGTCGCTAGGTTTTCTAGTCGTAGAATAGCAAAGAAAAAAAAACATGCTATTGCGGTGAATGAGTAACTTTGATAGTCACTATAATATTTCCATCCAAGCAGAAACAAAATCTTGAACCTAAATAGAAGCCTCATACACATGTATTTACTTGTCAACAAAATAATTATTGATTGTTGTTTATGATGGTAATAGGCATTGCATATGGTGTTTTGGCCGGTTTATCAGCATCTAACGGTAAAATATAATGCACAACACAAAAGTCGAATAGGTTTTTTTGAAAAACGCATATTTTTCCTCTAGGATTATATGTTTCCTTCTTTCCTGTGATTGTCTACATGATTTTTGGTACATGTCCACATTTATCGATCGGTTAGTACTTTCATATGAAGAAATTCTATAATGAAATTTCCATCTTTTCTCTTATACAGGTACATTTGCTATCATATCGTTGTTGACGATAAAAGCAATCGATGGAGTTACACTGACATCATCGACTTTAATTACCAATGATACTATCATAGAATCAAACATATCGTATATTTCGGATATATCGAATGATGCTTTAATGCATGAAAAGCTGGGCATAGCTACTACACTTGCATTTTTGGTTGGGCTCATTCAAGTAAGTAGCCGAAATTGTATGATATTACAAATCGAGCAGACAATTTTCTTTAAGCTGATACTATGGATTTTTCGGCTTGGTTTTATCACGACTTACATGACGGAACCTTTTATAAGTGGCCTAAATGTGGGAGCTGCTGTACAGGTCTTTTCTAGTCAAATTACACACGCTTTTGGGGTTCCCAATCCAAACAATATTCAAGGCCTTTTTAAGTTACCCAGGTTCTATGTTCAAATTATCGGATCAATTTTCCAACACATCAACTTTATGTCAACGGGGATAACATTCGCATCGATTATTATTTTACTTGTAGTAAAAGAGTTGAATGAGCGGTACAAGAAGAAAATACGTACCGTAATTCCAATTGAACTAATTTTGGTAAGTCGAAGTTCAATTCTGAATTCATTGGAAACTACCAATCATTCTCTTGATTGAAAATTGAAGGTAATTTTTGGTACATTGATATCATATTTGGTGAAACTTCATGATCGACACGGCGTTTCGATAGTTGGTCCCGTTAAGCGTGGTCTACCTTCACCAACTGTACCAGCTTTTACTAATATTTCTTCTTTGCTTGTATCGGCTATTACGATTACTGTTGTCAGCCTATGCCTCAATATTTCTGTGGCTAAAATGTTTGCCCGAAAGTATGACTACAAAGTACGCTCGAATCAGGTATGATTCATAATTTTATCATGAAGAATATATCTTAATTCATAGCCACAGTCAACCTTTCCTTCATTAAAGTAGCATTTTCTAACTGATCATCTCACTTTCTGGGTCATATTGAGAAACATAAGGGTGTTCAGCATCGACCATTTTATGATCAAGAGTGTGAAAACTAGCATGAATTCTACTAATTTAGTTGAATAAATTTGATTTGTTTTTTTTTCGAATTTATGCACTATTTTAAGTATTATTCGCAAAATCTTGATGATTTAAGCTCAGTAGTTGACAGAACAATAGAAAAAAAAAACTTTCATAAAATGTAGTATTTTCTTCGTTGTTTTCATTGTTTATCAAGCTCGATACAATTATTACACGGAATTGTTCTGGTTTCAGTTTATAGTTGTTGTTGACAAGAAATGTTGTTCCATACATTTATAGGTAACGCATTTCAACGTTCAATGGTACTGCATACAAAATTCTTGTACAATCTGCACTCAATATTTTTCCAACGTGCACTTACCGCTTACATACAGTCCAGCTACTAATAATCTACAATCATAAGTTTCATCACATCATCCCATTGTTGTTAATTCTCATAAACGCTATCAATTATCCAAGAAATTACATCAATACCTTGAAATAGTAAAGAAAAGTAATATTGTAAAACTGAAGCAGCTTTTCATAGACTTCTGAATGAAAGCGTATATGCTGAGCATCTTAAGCTTTCTCAATCTCACCTACCGCATGAGATTTTCACAATGAAAATGATATGGTGCCTACGAATACAGACAGTGCAGGCTTTCATTTATAGTGATACTAATAATCTAAAAAAAAATACTTGTTTTTTTTTATTTTGAATATTAGGAACTACTTGCTTATGGATTGGGAAACATTTTTTCATCCTTTTTTCAATGCTTTCCAAGTTCGGGCTCATTGAGTCGTTCAATGGTACAAGGAGAAAGCGGTGGAAAAACGGCACTGATTGGTGGTTTTTCTTCTGTGATTTTAGCTGTCGTCATACTAGCATTGGCACCTCTTCTTGAATCTCTTCCTATGCCTTGTTTAGCCGGTATCATCATCGTCAATCTTAAAGGACTCTTGTTTAAAGTCACCGACTTCGCTTATTACTATCGTATTAGTATGATGGAAGCCGTAAGTTGAATGAGCAATAGTGAAGCATCTCATCATAACAGCATTTTTTCTTCAATATCATAGACCCTTTGGTTGATCACATTTTTAACTGTCATCTTATCCGACGTTGATATGGGTGTTTATGTAGGTATAGCTACTTCGTTTCTTATGAACACGATTCGTACGCAAAGGTACTCTCATTTGCCGTAAGTGAGTGTCTAAGTAAATATTTTTTCCTTAGGCCACGCTTCGCTGTTCTTGGTCGAGTAGGTGATACCACACTTTACAAAAATATAAAAGTTTTCCCATCTGTAAGTGATAAATTGGATCTCTGGCAGAATTCTTGATATCTAGCTCATGGATTTTGATAGGCTGAACAACATCTTAATATCAAAATTCTTCGTTTCGATGGGTCTCTCTATGCATGTAATGCACCTTTTTTCAAACGAAAATTTTATGAACTAATTGGTATACATCTCGGAGAAAAACCCCTCATCGCGAATAGCAAACCGAAAACTATTGAGATTCAGGATATTACTGACAAATATGTCGTGCTCGACTGTTCGCCTATGAACTTTATCGATACTGTGGGTGTCAAGCTACTCATTGCGGTATGTATGATTTACAAAGCATAAAAAGACGAATACTGATGTATATTTGATTTATGTGGTACATTTTAGATTTACATGGATATGAAAAAACGAAGCATTCATCTATGTCTAAGCGAATGTCGTTGTAAGTTGATTATTCAGTTCAGGTTTTTGTGGAAGTCACATATATTTTTGGAGAAAATAGTGATTGCAAGTTTTAAGTCGAAGTTTTGCAGTTGCTCTTCTTCCTGTCCTATTACAAGCCTTAGGAATCTGGATTATAGGCATTGAATGACATTAATAACAAGACCTAGAAGGTTTCAAAACATTCCAGAATCTTTCTTGAAATTTAAATGCCTGGAAAACATGGCAAATTTGCACAACGGGCTAATATGTCCAGTGAATCAATGACTAGACTGATAATAATAAATTATGTAAAATGAAATTATTATAAAATAAAATAAATATCAAGCGAACCGCAGCAAGAAAAATGAAAAAAGAGTGCTACTCGAAATAAAAGACGACAAAATTTCTTTTCGAAGCGTATATTTATGTATTCTGTATTAGTACGATAAAGTTAAATAAGACATATGAATTCCATATTTCAGCCCTAGACGAACTGCGTAACTAGTTTTTCGTCACTGATTTTCGCTCTTTTGAAGTTGATGTTCGTTGCATGTTGGACTCGATGGATTTTTATGGAAAAACGGATGATCGCATAATCTATGTTTCAACACATGATGCAGTTATGGCAATTCTCGCCGAAATACAAAACAGTAAGCATACAATTCAGATAAACTGTGAATTCTTTTTTAATTTTCTAGATTCCATCATAGAATCTAATCCACAAACTGTCACCACACAACTCTAACTTTTGGTGTATTGATTTCTCTTCTTCTCATTGCTTCACAATAACCAAAAACCAGCAACATATATTTTCAACTATTTTACTTGCTTGACACTAATCAGTCAGCTAAGTAAATCTTTTATGCTTTTTTTTGTATGTAATAAATCTGAAGTTCAGTCATGTTCCAACTGTTGAATGAAGCCTATTCAATTGGAGAGTGAGATAATATCGGAAAGTTGGAAGTGGATGGGTGTGGGCGTGGGTGTGAATATGGGTGTGGGATGGGTGTATATATCGCTGAGAAGATTCCCAGTCACACCCACACTCCACACACATCCTTTGTCTTGTTATTGTTATTCATTGTTGTTGCTGTTTATAAGCTTCTAAATCTTGACTAAACGTGTTAAATAATGAATCAGTTTCATGTAATTTTTTATTTTAAGTATCTCGAAGTAAAGTTAATGACGAATCCAACTATAAATCAAGTTGTTTTCGAGCATACGGTCGATAATCACCTAACAGGCCTCGCGGCGGTCCTGATTTCCTGATTTTTTCCTGATTTTTCGTAGTCGTCCTGATTCATCCTGATTTTGGTACAAGATCCTGATTTCCTGATTTTTGGCGCTTTTCGAAACTAAATAATTTCTCTAGAAAATTTCGGTTTAGTCTCAGTGTAGGCGTTTCAGAAATTCTGTCTTGAATTGATGAAGATACTATTTTTTTGAATGATCGCGTTGTTCATCTTGTTTGAAGAATAGCTAAAATTCTTTATGAACTGAAAAATATCGGTGAATATATGAAAAAATTCATCTGTTTTTTTTACAAGATTCATACAAAATCTTGTACCATTATTCAGTAAGAAAAAAAAAGAAAAGACAGGCACAAGTTAGTTAGTTANCTATTCCCGCATCCAAACAACATCCACACCCATATCCATCCAAACAACACCCGCACCCACATCCACCCATGCACATCTACACCCTAGCCATACCCACACCCTGAAAACATGAAATTCATTTATAGTATTCTAAATTATTACGATTGATATATAGAAATATATGATTAGCCAATGGATTTAGTATCATAACTTATTTCACTACTTCAACAGCCTAAAAATCAGTGTATGGCAATATACTCGAAAAGAAAGTACTACTCGACTAAAGGACTAAATATCAAAGGACTTAGTACCCAGTCGCGACTGGGTCCCAGTCAATGACTGGGTCCCAGTCAATGACTGGGTCCCAGTCGGACTGGATACCCAGTCCGACTGGACCCAGTTCACCAGTCAGAACTGGGACTGGTGCATCCCTAGGTGTAGGTGTGGGTGTGGATGGTGTGTGGGTGGGGGTAGTTGTTTGCTGGCTCTCCTTATACACCCACACCCCACACCCACACCCACACCCACACCCACACCCACCCACCCACACCCCACACCCACACCACACCCGCGAAGCAGTTCATTTTTTTTCTATTCTGTTACGCTGTTTTCCCATTGAATTTTGTCAAAATGTTTTTGGCTTACAGTCAGAGGTGCCCTCTTCAGATCTCAACGGGGATAGGGGTAATTGATCACGCTGAATCCGAATATGCTGTTTTTATTCACCGAACACCTACCCTTCAAAACCGCTCCGGGGTGATATGTTATTAATTGGTAGAACTGACTCCTGTATAAAAAATAAAATTCAATATAGATACGACTGTTTTTTAATGCAAAACACGTTGCATGGTCAAGAACAATTTATTATGCGCTCCTCTTCATTACACATTTTCTATTTCCACATGGTGTGTAACGAAAGAAAAAAAAGCAATAATATTTCTTTGCAACGTGGGTATATATAACATCATCGACCAATTTTCGCGTTGCTACTCGTGTAATGCATCAATGATCACTGTAATATTTAATAAAATGAAAGCTTTCTCCTCGTGCTCATATCTCGCACACCTTATGTTTTATCATCACTCCGACAGAGAAGCAATGCTTATTACAATCCATTCTCATTCGTATGCGGACATAATCATTCGTTAGAAAAGTATAAACCTTTGTCATAATTGTTTTTCGAAGCGTAATATTTATAAGGTAAGCTATTACATGAATAAGCAACTGGAGAACATGAAGAAAAACAAACGTTTTTGAACCATCCCACAGCTGCTATTATTAATGAAAATAGACATCTTAGACACCTTCCGTAGTTAATAATACTTCGCATTAAGTTCGGTAGAAACTCCACGTTTTACTTTCGTAGACTTAACAATTTCGTGTAAGAAGAGTTACTGGTGTGTTAGGGAACGCTGTTTTTCTCTTAAATGAAAGTAAATTTAAATTATGATAATTTATTTTTATTATTAACTTTATTTTAAATTTAAATAATTGATAATTTAATTAAAGCATAAAATAAATTGAAAATAAATAGATATTGACAATTCTATCCATGTGACAGTTTCTTTCTGAAAAGTTGAAAAATAAAGAATTTTTCCTAATATTCTTAAAAAAAACTATATGTTTATTGGTTGATATCGATTCTTCAAATGATTTCTGTCAGAAGCAATCGTTTGACGTTTCGAAACATAGATATATGTTTGATTTATGTTAAAAGAAACGATTGAAAATCAATTTCTTGTTTAATACGACTGGCATTAATTTCAATTATTGCTGGTGCTAAAAATGATTTCGATTATTTTAGTCAACTAAAATTAATTTTTAGCGATTTCAATTGTTGAAAAGTGACTGAAAACAATTGAAATTTTACTAAGCTAAAGCAATGAAAATGTATGAAGGTGTATTTGAATAAAATTTGGCAAAATTTTTGATACGAAATCGTGAAAGTATAAAGTACTTCTTAGAAAAATCCAAAAACTATATTTAAGAAACGACGGGAGACGTTTTAGGTGCATTTTGGCCCCCAAGAAAATGAAGGCAGAATTACTTCAAACTTTCAGCTAATACTCAGCTATATGCCAGTAGTCATCATACAAAATTTGAACTTGATCCGTTGAACTTTTTCTTCACTTCCACACATCCAAATCCCACTACCTAAATGTGCCTATAAATACCCTATCGGGGTTACCTTGCAGACCTTCGTTCTCCACTATGCGATTCAGAACCGGAGTGAATATTTTAGGGTCGCTAGGAATGAGTGAGGGCTACAAGATTCCAAGGGCATGAGGTCCACAAAAAAATCTGTCTTTGAATCGTTTTGAAGTACACAGTTCCAAAAGTCGTTGAAAAATCCCTGTAGAGGTAACCTGGTTGACTTTCGTTCTCCACCATACGATTCAGAACCGCAGTGATTTTTTTAGAGTCACCAGGAATAAGTAAGGGCTTCAAAGTAGAAAGGACATGATGTCCACAGAAATCCTGTCCTTTTATCGACTTGAACTGCACAGTGCCAAAAATCCATTAAAAAGCAATGTAGAGGTAACCCTGTTGACTTTCGTTCTCCTCTATACGGTTCAGATCCGAAGTCGTTTTTTTTATGGTCACTAGGAATCAGTGAGGACTACGGTATCACATACACTTCAATCTGAGTAAAAACTGCCGGAATAGCACATTGGTGTAGAGAGAATTCAAAGTAGTAGTCGAAATTTTGATGGAA